TGCTTGAAAGCAAGTCCCTGCCTCCTGCAGACTGTTCAAACAAACGCTTCAACTCGTACCATCTAGAGTCTGTGTGTTTGAATATGGATCTGAAGTTGGCGTGACGTTGAAGTCGTGCTGCTGGACTCGGCTGAAGTTCCTTTATAGCATAACGTTAGCATTTAGCTCCTGGACATTAGATTTATGATTAGAACATTATGAAAGTAGACATGTGGAGATTATCCGGCTGAACGAAACATTTATCTATCAGCTTTGTTTTCCACAGATCTTATTTCAGCTATTTTCCAAAATCCTCTGGAGAAATCCTGTTGCTTTTAGTGGAGGGAACCAGCAGCTTCCTTCAGGGTAAGTACGTCCTCCCTGCACCGCTCTATAGCGCAGCCCTAATTGAAACTCCACAGGTTTAATATCTCTGAGGATTTTCTTTGAGACTCACCTTCACATTTTGGGAGTTCAGGCTCCCACTGTTCGTTGATCCCACAGATTATGGTGGGAGAATTTGTCATCCTGTACCCCTCGTTGCACTTGAACGTGACGGTAGCCTTGTAAGTGTAGGGGCCCCGCGACCCAGACTCCCAACGACCGAACTCAACAACTGGCTCCTTACATTCAACCTCTGCAAGAACAACAGAATACACAGGAAGGAAATTCAGAAAAATGTCCAAAAACAACTGGTTTAGAGTAAATTAGAGTCCGAGCTGAGATGCAATGGGAACAAATTCAGGGTACATGCAGGAATCCTGAAGTCAAATGTAAAACCTTTTAAGACCTTTTTTAAGACCCTTTCCATACATTTTAAGACCTCATCGCCACGTGGAGTTCTAACAGGCGACACACTTTACCTCACATTCACTATATACCAGGGGTGTAGCGGTAAACAAATATTTCGGTTCGGTACGTACCTCGGTTTTTAGCTCACGGTTCGGTACGTTCTCGGTACAACAGAAAAAATGATCACAAAACATAAAATATTTTTTGGGTTTTTTGTATTATTATGAAACTCTGAATAATGCTTTGCTAACATGGCAACATAAGGAGATTTGGCGTTTGTAATAGCTTTGGCTCGGTCTGAACTTGTTGCGAGTGGTGGAGGCTTAAATGCTAGCGGGAGTTGGGTTTGCACTTCAGTCTTTTTTCTTTTGGTACCGGTGATATTCACGTTCGGGTGATGCCTTTTCAAATGAGTGGGCACGTTTGATGTATTGCCAGCCGCGTAACCAATGTTAGTTGAACAATGCCGACAAACAGCTTTGGTTCGGTCCACCTGTCTTTGTCCGTCATCCTTGTACGTAACTGCGAAACCAAAATGTTCTCAAACCGGAGACTTCAATGATGCTGGAGGATTTTCGAGCTCAACTTGATCTGCGTTCGCCATTTCCTCAAATTACTGACTACATTTGAACGCATCCCTGTGACCAGCTCTCATAGTATGCCTCTCGTCCAATTAAATGACTTGCTCGCTCTATGACGCGTTGAACCCAATGTGAGCAAATTACACTGAACGCTGCGACGTTCTGTGCTAAGTGCGTAAGCATTTTTTCGCTCAGGGCTAATTTAGACACTTCTTGTGAGACTTGTGTTTTGTTTCGGTAAAAATGGTTGGTATCGCCAGTTAGCTGAGTTTCTAACCGTTAATCGGGTAACACACATTCATCGGTTGTTAAATGTTAGGAAGCCCTGAGATGGGCCTGCCGGGCTTAACAGGTTAAGTAAAATGTCAAAAACAAATAAAGATTTAAAAAATGGTATGTGAACAAAGGGAGTCAAATTAAAAAAGATACAATTAAATAAAATGAAACGTTTTTTTATAAACATAATAAAATTAAATAAAATAAAACTTCTAATAAAAATTAAAATAAAGAAAAAATCTGCAAAATTTAAATAAACAAAGGAAGCCGAGGAATAATGTGAAATAAAGAGAAACAATTAAGTAAAAATGTATATTAAATAAAACATCCCATAAAAAAGGATGTAAAATAACAATAGAAAAAAATATATATATATAAAATAAAAATGTGCACATTGCACTACAATAAATGACATGTATATTACAATATATAGAAAGGTTTGAAAGGGTTTGGGTGTATTGAAGATTCTAAAAGGACTTACTGACACACTCCGGGGCGGCCGGCTGAAAGACCCCGGTCTCTGAGCAGGACAGAGTCTTCGATCCGTTCAGGGTGAGAGGTGCAGGACAGGAGAACTGGATCACCTCTCTGTATTCATACGCGTCTTTGACCGGACGGAAGCTGCCGATGGTCGGATTCATCGGAGGTTCACAGGTCATCACTGAAACATTCAATACATGGGAAGAGGCGGAGAGTTTATATGTTACAAACTCAGTAATCACATCGCAGATGCATGGCCAATACGCTAGAACATTAGTATATTATCCAGGGGAACCAACTCAGATATCATTTTGGGCCAGCCTCTGAGAGATGGGACCTGATGTTAGTAGTCATTTACAGAGATGGTAAAAGTATCCTTTACTCAAGTAGAAGTACAGATACTCGTGTTTAAAAATACTCTGGTGAAAGTAGAAGTACTGACTGAACTTCTTTACTCAAGTCAAAGTAAAGAGGCTTTGAAATGTACTTCAGTAAAAAGTACCCATAACTAGCAGCTGTTTTAAAGAGTACCTGACCTCCCTTTATATTAATAGAACAATAATGTCATTGTTAGCTAATGAATGTTTCCATGCTGAACAACGGCAACATGACAACGTTTTCATTTGTCCCTCTTCTTTAGAGAAGACCAGGAAATGATGGATACACGGATCGTGTTCAAATCAATAGGCACGCAATGACTCTAAATAATAATGATCACGCCACCAAACACACATTCAGACTAAAGGAACCAGCCTGTTTGGAAAATGAGAGAAGTAGAAAGTAAAGGTATTTGAGTTCAACATGTAAGAAGTAGAAAGTACAGGTATTTGTGTTCAACATGTGAGAAGTAGAAAGTACAGGTATTTTGAGTTCAACA